GCGCCGGCATTTTTCAAATTAACAACGGTTGTTTACGGCGACGCAAAGAATTGTGGGTTATCTGTAGCAGCGAAGGATACACCTCATGCATCCTCCGAATTCCTGTGAAAGAAGGTCATTCGAAGGTCGCATTCGGAGTGTCCTACTTGCTTGTCTGAAATGAGACAGCCTCGATGATGTATGCAGCCTTCGAATGCGACCTCCGGAGGGCGCAGCCTTCTAAATGAGACACAGCTTGTAATTATGACTGATATATTGAACTGTAGGGGGCGCCAAAGTCGCAAAAATACACAAAACTACATACATTTGCTTTAAATGCTTTATTTCCAGAAGACTCGATTCTTGTACCTTTATGTGACATAATTACAATAAGGACTTTGTTTTCATAATTGACAGACAAGCTGATTAACATAAAAAATATTTTAAAATTGACAGAGTAAAAACAACGACAAACATTTAAAAACAATAAATTGACTAGCTCCAACAATATGACCATAAACCTGGACATGAAATGGGTCTTAATCATGAAACACCAGCAGAATTAATTTCTATGTAATTTTTTTTCATTGGATTGAACTAAATATGTTAAAAATGTTCTAATTTGTTACTGAATATCTTGAATTGTCATGTAGAAGTAGCAATAATAATAATAATAATATACTATTGTTTTTTTTTTGCGTATATGCTCAGCTTTGGCCATACTGTTTTACTTACGGTCATACCAATAAAGCTATTTGAATGAACTGAACTGAATATGGCAGTTTGCATAACAGCGGTTTTGACAAATGAATGTGTATTTATTATATACACAGTATTTAAGAAAAGATGATTAGACTAACAATTGAGAGTAAAGATCATCCGAGGTTTGATTTATGCAAGAAACTGCTGCATTATTCAGGCTTTAAACAGGCTTATTTTAAATCTAATCTAATAAGAGGTTTGATTCGTTGTACAACAATAAACAGTATTTGTGCTCGCAGTATCCACATGCATTTCTGTGTGCACTGAATTCCTGACAGGAAGTTCAAATCCTCTGGCTCCACCCTGTCTTACACAGCTCTGTCTGTGATTGGTCAGTTCTCATGATGAATGTACCACGTAACTGGAGCACATGCGAGAGATGCTCTTCGCCGGCTTGTTATTTTTGGCCGCCTGCCGTCGTCTTGGTCCTCGTTCGGCCTGTCATCTCCATCTGAACTCATGTGGTACTGAAGCGGCGCGGCTCATCTCTCTGTCTGTGTTCAGGGTGGTTTTTCACCCTCCGTCGGTAAAAGCGAGTGTCCTACAAGGAGAAACACATCAGTTAGACAGTCATTAAGATAGAAATCTTGCAAAATGCAAGTTTCAAACATTTTATTTTAACACACACACACACACACACACTACTTTTCAAACATTTGGGGTTGTAAGATTTTTAAAATGTTTTTAAAGAAGTATTTTCCGCTCACCAAGGCTGCATTTATTTGATCAAAAATACACTAAAAATAGTAATATTGTGAAATATTTTTAAAATTTTAAATGACAGTTTTCTATTGTAATATATTTAAAAATATAATTTATTCCTGTGATCAAAGCTGAATTTTCAGCATCATTACTCCAGTCTTCAGTGTCACATGATCCTTCAGAAATCATTCTAATATACTGATTTGCTGCTCAAGAAGCATTTCTTCTTATTATCAATGTTGAAAACAGTTGTGCTGCTTCATATTTTTGTGGAAACCGTGATTTTTGATTTCATATAAATGTTCAACCAACCCATTCACAGCCGCTAGGATTCTTCCCAGTTGTGTGAGCGTTTCTCTGAAGCGCTGAGATGCTGGAGACTGTGAAGGACTTCCTTCAGACCGTCAGCTGGACAGAGAAACACGATATGAATTCACACGTCCATGTAAAGGAAACATTATACATGCACAGAAACAGAAGTCTTACCGAGCTCCGCCATATGAGACTCCATGTTAGACAGCAGCTGAGAGCACATCAAGCCGTCACCTACCACAGACAGACATCAGAGCGCTTATCAATACAGCTGAAGCCTGAGGTCATTCAAACTCAACAGAAAAACTGATTTATAGTGTTAATGACATCTTTCAAGATGGTTCAAACATAAGATGCATCTAGCTAGTGATAATATTATGCTTCTGTGGTTTGCTGTTAATTTGGTGTCTTGTGCACTTTTTTTTTTTTTTTTGGGCAAGCAAAACCACCAAATTTTTTTTTTTTTTCAAAATTTTTTGATTCTCAATATATTTTTTTGATACAAAAAAAAAAAACTTTTCATACTGCAGAAATAAAAGTAAAATAGTGTCAAATAGTGATAAATAAAATGGTGAATAAATAAAAAAATGTATAAATAAAAAAAATATTCATGAAATAAAAAATAAAATACATTTTAATAAAATTAAAATATTACTGTTAAATGGTGATTAAGTAGTGATCATGATAAAAATGTAAAAAAAGATATTAAAATAAAAATAATTTTATTAAAACAACATTTTAATAAATAATGCTAATTTTAATTAAATTTTAATAAACATTTTTAATTGCATTTTTGAATGCACACTAAAGACACAGACACAAACGTTCATACTGTAGGAACCACAAGTTGGTGTGAGTTCCACAACATTGTTTTTTTTTTTTTGAAGAAAGTTTGCCAATGCAAAACATGCTTAGGGTGCTGGAGAGTTGATGTATGGTTGCTAAGGTGTTCTGATTGGTTGCTAAGTTGTTCTGATTGGTTGCTAGGTGGTTGTTAGGGTCTTCTGGGTGGTTTCTAGGCAACCTGACAGTAGTAGTGTTTTCTTAAAACACATTAAAAGACACTTAATACTGCACTTTTAATGATGCTGGTTATACTGCATTATTCGCAATGCATTCTGGGAATTAATTATTGAATTCCCCTTTTCCGATTTTCTGCAAATAAAAGCATTGGCAGGTTCAGCACACCTCGAGCGTCCTCCTGCGTGAGAGTGCTGCGTAGAGCGTGTAGTTTCCCGCTCAGCATCTGAATGCGTTTGCTGTTCTCCTGCAGCTCTGCCTGAACGCTCTTCCACGCCATCTTCTCCTCCATCAGACATCCCTCCATCACGGCACGCAGCTCCTTCTCCTGGGTCACCTGACCCTGCAGAGACTCAACCTCCACACAACGCTGCACACACACACACAAAGAAAAGCTTAAAGGTGCATTATGTAATATTGACAGCTAGTGGTTGAAATGGGTACTGCAGTCCGAATTCAAAATATCTGAGAAAGTTGTTTCTCCACCCCTCCTCCTCAGACTCAGAGCTCAGGCGGGTTGCCAGATTGAGGACACAGAACAGGAACGAGTGAAATTGACAATGGAAGGCAACGAGCCTTACACGGTAAGTTGTTGAGTGGACGTATCTGCATTTTAATAAGTCTCTGGTCATAGAGCTTTTTAGATGGATGCCAGGGTTTTTTAGGTGCGGTAGAATCTGCGACCTCTGACCCAGTTCGTCTGCTGGCTTCCATGGCTGGAGTAGAGTGTTTTCCACCAACTGGCAACCCGGGCTGTTGAAATTCTATTGGGTAAATTAGCCAAAACAAAAACAGACATTCCGACACGGAACGCATATTTCTAAGTAGAATTACTGGCTGTAGCCGGTATTGTTTTTGGAGAAACAAGTATGCAAATGGAGCATGTTTCTTAAATATCTGCAAAGGTATTATCTTTTTATGCTTTATTACAGTCAAAAAATTACATACAGCACCTTTAAGAGAACCACACAATAACTACAGCAAGCTTGTAGTTATGATGTGGTAAATTTATGACAATGTTGTTGCCAGAACAGTGCTGTTTTTACAACATCAGTTTTATGCATGGCAACCCTTGAGCTCAACTTATTTTGATAGACTGATTTTATAGCATGTTGTTCATTTTATTGTGACCCATTACACAACCAAGTGGATATAAAGTCCAGTAATGCTCTGAGATTTTATACATTTAAATGCAAAAAGGTAAAACCTGGTTATATAGCAAAAACTCTACCGGTTAACTTTTAAAAATATAAAAACATTTAAAACATTATTTTGTGAAATAGGTCAGTCTTGTCTCTTTGTGTACATTTACATTTTTAGATTCGGTGTTGATGTTACAGTTCACACTTAATCACAAACTAGGTGCCAATTACATGGCAGTTCTCTTCCCTGACTTTAGCTACAGTCCTACAATCCTCCTCACTTGCAAATGAGCTTTATGAGGTGAAGATGGTGTGAATGGAAGTCATGCAGTCAGCACCTTATGAAGCTGAATGGCCATTTCCTGCATCTCGGCCTCCAGTTGGTCCGCATACGCCTGCTCTAACACATCACTGGGTGGCCGTGCATTACTGTGCCAACGGGCTATTGCTGATGTCATCTTCCTCTTAGGACCAAACAGACTATAGAGTGAAAAGCACAAATATTTAAATAACAAAAAAAACTATTTAAATAAAGTGATGCAATTGTAAAAATAAATAAAATAAACATTGTATCAATAACAATATAATACATAAAATAGTTAATGGGATTAAAAATAATTCATTTTAATAAACAAAAAAGTACAATTTAAAGTGATAAATAAAATATAAACAAAAATAACAGTAAAAACACTATAAATAAAATGCAATAAATAATAAATAATGAAATAAAAAAATATATATTTACAAAAAATAAAAATAACTGAACAGTGATAATCAAATGGTAAAAAATGTAATACTGTATATATATATATATATATAAAAAAAAATTTAAGTAATAATGAAATAACAAAAATTTGTGATAATTTTAATAAATGTAATTTTAATAAAATATAAACACTTCATTTAATTAAAATATTTGAATAAATCACTTTAATGAATTTTAAATTTGAATAAAACAAAATAATAAATTACTTTTTAATAAAGTGATATAAAATAAAATGGCACAAAGACTCACGTGATGCCAACTTCCTTGAGGTCGTTCTCAGTAAGCGTGAGGAAGATCCTCAGGTCGATGTCTTGCTCCTCCAGCAGGGGAAGGTACTTACTGAACCCGATCTGCTCAAGGAACCCTGCGAGATCCTGCAACACATTAACATACTCTTTACTGGTGCATGTTAACTAGGGGTTGAACGATTTCTAATTTTTTTAAGTCGACTTTTATGTGATGAAAGTCGAGTCTAGGTCGACTAGTCGCTGACGACGTCATTAATAAACAAATAAATCTGCAGTACAATAAGCTGTTTAAAACGTGCATTCTCCCGTTCAATTTCGAGCATCCAGTAATATAATCACACGTCTTGTGGAGCGCTTTCAGAGTATGCATTTATTTGTCATTTTAACTGTTTGGAAACAGAGCGTAAATGTGGAAGTCCTTCAAAGATTTCTCATCCTGTTGCGCCCTCTATAGGACCAGCGACTAGTCGACGTCAAGCTTAAAGCGTCATGGCAGAGCATTGAAGTCGACTAATCATTACTCGGTGCAACCCCTAATGTTAACTCTCATACACACACACACATGCACTGAAGTAACTAGAAGAACACGCACCTTGGGTCCAGTGTATGAAGGGGGAGGTCCAGAGGAAGACGGAGCCTCGCGGTAACCGCTGCTGCTGTTACCGGGACTCCTGCCTTTGGAGTGCTGGAGTTTGCTGGATCGACGTGGACAACTCCTCTTTGCTTGATCCGAGTCCTGCAAACATAATGAGACGTTAAGAGAACAGTTTCCTGGAGATGTTTATTGTGATAGATGATGGATCAGACCTCGTTGCTCTCCAGCGACGCCTCCCTGCTGAGTCCGAGGAGATGAGACAGACCCTCGCTGCTGCTGCTGCTGCTCCTCATGGTGGGCATGTCGTTATCAAACAACAGCTCATCTGCATGCAGAATGGAAACAGAATCGCATTGTATCGCATGTTCTTAGCAGATGCTTTGCTAAGAATGACCGTCATCCTGCTGAACGTCTCACCTCTACTGCTGTTGCTCTGGCCGTCGAGCTCATTGATGGGGGAAGTGACATCACGATTGCAGATTCCTTCGCTCTGATCGCCAACGTCCCGAAACGTCACGTATCCAGGTGGAGCCACAGGAACCTCTGCAATGAAAGAACACATTATATAGATTCAATGTCCCTTTCCACTATTTTATTTTATTAAAATGTATTTTTTTTAATATTTAACTGAAAATGTGAATATCCTTTTAAAATAATTTCAACATATTTACAATTTAATAAAATAACTATTTCATTAAGTATTTTTATTTTATTGAATTAAAATGTACTTTTTTGAATAATGTAAATATATTTATAAAATACTTTAAATATATTTAAAATTTCATAAAATAACCATTTCGAAAATGACCAACACACGACACCTTATTTCAAAAGCTTATCTTCTTTTTTTATTCAGTTGATCACACTGGTATTGATCGTATTTGGCGTACTTGGGAGAAAGATCTCAGTACTGAGTATATCGATGACGACTGGGTAGATACAGTTAAATCTCTTAGAAGTATATTTACGTGCAATAGACTGGTCGAATGCCAGAGTGAAATTGGTACTTTCATGTATTGTTTTTGGCATTGTCCAGTCATCACAAAGTTTTGGGAGGGTGTGGCACGGAAGATGGGGAATATTTTAAAAATAAACTTTACCAAGGACCCTGGTTTTTTTTTACTTGGCTTGCCAGCAAAAGACATTGCTTTAACCGCTAACCGGTTTGTACTCTGTGATAAGCTCCTGTTACTCGCTAGAAAATGCATCCTTATTGAGTGGATTCACTCTAGACCCCCATCACTTTCCTGTTGGTATCGAGAGATCTTCAGAATATTGCCTATGGAGAGACTAACTGCAGTGGTTAGGGGAGACAGTTCCAGGTTTGAAGAGATGTGGGGGCCTGTTATGGAACATCTTCCAACCAGTTTACTAGAGATTATATTTAAGGGAAGATTTTCATTTGAATAAGCATTCCTTTTTCCTGAATAACTGGTTTACTTATACTGTATGAGATCGAATGGGCTGAGGCAAATAGCTTGGTCAAGAGGTTCATGATAGGCTGAGAATTTTATATATTTTATTTTCATTGTATTTGCTATTGTTTGTTTTTTGTTTTTTTATTTTGCTTTTTATTTATTTTTAGAATTATTATTATTGTTTTGTTTCGATTATTGTACTGTAATATGGTTTAACCCTTTGTATTACTGTGTTTTTGTCTGTTAATAAAAAAATAAAAATAAATAACCATTTAATTAAATATTTTTAATGTTTTAATGCAGTGAAAAAACACTTGGGCTGAGGCAAATAGCTTGGTCAAGAGGTTCATGATAGGCTGAGAATTTTATATATTTTATTTTCATTGTATTTGCTATTGTTTGTTTTTTGTTTTTTTATTTTGCTTTTTATTTATTTTTAGAATTATTATTATTGTTTTGTTTCGATTATTGTACCGTAATATGGTTTAACCCTTTGTATTACTGTGTTTTTGTCTGTTAATAAAAAAATAAAAATAAATAACCATTTAATTAAATATTTTTAATGCAGTGAAAAAACACTTTTCTGTTTGTATATAGATTCAACATCCCTTTCCACTATTTTATTAAAATGTATTTTTTTTATATTTAACTTAAAATAAATGTGAATATACTAATAAAAATGTCAAAATATTTACAATTTAATAAAATAACAATTTCATTAAGTGTTTTTATTTTATTGAATTAAAATGCACTTTTTAAAATATTCAACTTTAAATAAATGTAAATATTTATAAAATACTTTAAATATATTAAAAATGTCATAAAATAACCATTTCATTAAATATTTTTAATGCAGTGAAAAAACACTTTTCTTTGTCTGTATATAGATTCAACGTCCCTTTGCACTATTTTATTTAATTAAAATGTACTTTTTTTAAATATTTAACTTCAAATAAATGTGAATATATTTATAAAATACTATAAATATATTTAAAATTTAATTAACTATTTCATTAAATATGTTCAATGCAATGAAAGAACATAATTCTTCTAAATATATATATGTGTGTATATATATATATATATATATACAACAGTCAACATAGAGAGAGAGAGAAATTTATAATGTTACAAAATTTCTACTTTAAATAAATAAATGGTTTTCACAAAAATATGAAGCAGCACAACTGTTTTCAACATTGATATTGATCAGAAGTGTTTCTTGAGCAGCAAATCCTCATATTAGAATGATTTCTGAAGGATCGTGTGACACTGAAGACTGGAGTAATGATGCTGAAAATTCAGCTGCGCATCACAGAAACAAATTACTTTTAAAAATACATATTGAAATAGAAAATGGTAATTTTAATATATAGCATATATAGTGTGAGTACCGTGTTTGGAGTCGACTCTGAAGCGTGCGATAGCTTGAGGGCCGTCGTGAATGCTGGGTCCTCTGGTTCTGCTGCGAGCTGACCGGACTCTAGGAGTCGCACTCTCTTCTTCAGACGAGCTCAGCTCCTCATACAGAGCTACAGAGATAGATCAGCTTGGGTTATTCTCTGCATTCACGACAGAGAAGGTCAATTACAAAAGCTAAGGTGCGTGACTGACATGATTTGGCTCTCATGACGTGCATGTCGATGAGGCTGGCGATTTTAGTGTGTCCGTACATCATAGCCAGAGCTCTCGCCGTTTCTCCCTTCATGTTCCTCTCCTCCGTTCCTACGCCCTGAATCATACACAGAACCAAAAATACTGAAAACACACAAGCATTTTTTAACACTAGGAGTGTAAATAGTTGCTCTGACTACAATTCAGTGCAGATTATGTAGTAAATGACATTAGGTCTAACTTTAGTCGCAATTTAAGTTTGATTTGACGTTTTTGTTCGATGTATAGATATTTTTAAAACTAAGCTTTAAGTAAGTTTAACTAGAGAGTCAGTTTATACCAAGAAGTAGTTTTGGATCAGGTTTGAATTTTGTTTTCAATACCTAATGTTAATTAATAATTTATTATTAGTTTTCATACTGGATGCATTGAGTTGTCATTGTCAGATTGATGCATAATTATTCTACAGTACATATAATTAGATTTTTAATTTAAAGTATGTCACATTTCAGAGTAAGGTCACACTTGCATGGTTGAGCAGGTACTGAACGATGATTTCATGACCGGATGCAGCAGCTTCCATGAGCGGTGTGAATCCTGACAGCGGCTCTCTGTGAGGGCAAAGGTCAAAGATTTAACATGTTTACAAGCTGTTTAAGCAAGATTATGCCCAGAATGAAATACTAGCATTTATTGCACGCTAAGTAGTAAATACAGTATTGTTAATGTATAAACTGTGATGTTGCTGTCAAATAAGTGGCGGAGAGTTATCATCTGGGAAATGAAAAGATAAAAAGTTATCAAAGCTAGGCCTGTCAAGATAACAACTTTTTGTTGTGCGATATATTGCCCCAGAAATAATTGCAATAAGCGATATTATTGTCATTTTAAAGACCATTTTATGCCACTGAATATATAATCCTAATGTAACAGCATAAATAATGCAAGAAGGCCTACACACTTCCAAATGACAACAAACTTTTAATTTTAAGAATATTTAGATCATGGAAATTAAGTATCAAAACATTAGATACCTTAAAAAACCTGAATAAATAGTAAATAAAAATTTTCTAACAAAAAGTGCAAAGTAGAAAAAAAGAAAAATGCACAAAGAACTTGTATGGAGACTTTTCCGTCTACAGATTTTTCCCTGACCTTCTTTTCTCTGTAAATTAAGGGTGCACACTATTGCTGAAAAACACAATCCCTACTTAGCAGTCAGATGTCCGTATGCACAAAGGCACAGATCCCTAAACAAGACCATATCTGCAGATGAAACTTTGTTTGTAGAAGCTTTTTTTAAATTTGAACTAGCACCAACTACACCACATTATGTACGAGAAGCTGCAAAAGACACAAGCACAAGTGGAATGTACAAAAGATGGTGACATTAATTTAAGTAAATATAATGGGCGATATATTGCATCACCAAAAATGATTGAGGTCATGTACATATATTGTGCGACAAGTCGATATATTGATTATTGCGACAGGCCTAATCAAAGCTGTCAGCAAATTTATGATCAAAAAATACATCAAGAATCTGGTGATATCTCTTCTAATTTATTCGCCATATCAAAACTGGAATTTATGTAATTTATTCCTGTGACTGAAATAATGGAAAATCCAGCTTTGCATCACTGGAATAAATTATATTTTAAAATATATTCAAATAGTTCTGTTAAACTGAAATAATATTTCACAATATTACTGTGATTACTGTACTTTTTAAACATGTAAATGCAGCCTTGGTGAACACAAAAACATTAGCAAAATCCTAATTATTCCAAACTGTTGACTGCTAATGTACAGAGTCTGTTTGTGTAAGGAAGAAGGTGAGTTCAAGGACATCAGTTTTGCTTTGTATAAATGAATGCACATGTAACTCACTTGATATTTGCATTGGCGTGATGCTCTAATAAGAATTTGACCATCTGCTGATGTCCAGTAGCTGTGCTGTGCAGCAGAGCCGTCCACCCGCGCACATCCTTACATTCAAGCTGCGCTTCTTGCTGTACAGAGAGAGGTTTCATTCAGTATTGTATAGTGAGCGCTGGCTTTTTTGCAATCTTGTAATTTTCACACAAATAAACTGTATAATCCAACTAACAACTCGTTGATGAGAACTGTTCATGTAAACCTGACCTGCAGTAGGAAGTAGGCGATGCTCTCGTTTCCGCAGCTGGCGGCGAGCATCAGCGGTGTGAGTCCTTTAGACGTGGTGGCCTTGACACTGACGCCCGTCTCCAGCAGCAGGTTAGCGATGTTATCGTGACCGATATATGCAGCGTACATCAGAGGAGTCCAGCCGCCGATGTTCTTCCCATCCAAATCCACATCTCCCCTGAATAACGATTCATCAGAAACAGACACAAGTCTTTGTTTTGCTGTTATTGCTTATGGTTGGTAAATGAAATAGATAGATGTCTGTCTGTCTATCTATCTGTCTATCCCTCTGTCAATCTATCTATCTCTCCATTTATCTATCATCCATTCATCTCTCTCTCTCTATATCTATATATCTTTCATCTGTCAGTCTGTCTATCTATCTATCTATCATCCATCTCTCTCTCTCTCTATATATATATATATATTTATTCATCCATCTGTCTGTCTGTCTACCTATCTATCTATCAATTCTGCTATCTATCTATCTATCCATTCTGCTATCTATCTATCTATATATATATATATATATCCATCCATTCATCTGTCTATCAATCTATCCCTCTCTCTCTCTCTCTCTCTCTATATATATATATATTTATCCATCCATCTGTCTGTCTATCTATCTATCCATTCTGCTATCTATCTATCTATCTATAAATAGAGTCTCTAGTTTAGGCATATTTTCTTTAAACGTTCAAGCACACTGAACTAAAACATGTCAAAGGCGGTTAGATGGAGACATGCACAGAATGAACAGCAGATTCTTCCATCTGACCTGCGGATGCACTCGGCCACCACATCATACTGTCCGATGGAGCAGGCGGTGTGAAGATCCAGCGGCACATTCAGCTCCTCCGGGCCGATCAGAGCGTCTCCTCCGTCCGCCAGCCACACGGACAGACTCGCGCCTAACTGATCCGACTCACTGCTCGCCTCGTCGCTCAGCTCAGACATCTTCCTCTGGAAATGAGGTTGGATAATTAATATTTACAGTTCTGTGCAATAATATGAGCTAAAATAGCTTATGTATATCAAAATAAAACAATTTATTTTATCCCTCTCAAAATAACCAGTTTATTCTGTGAAATTATGTTCCGTTATCTGGTATCAGGACTATTCCTGTCAGTCAGTTAAACTCGGATAAATGTTATCTCATACTCTTATTCATATGTTTATAACATAGTTATGATGCTGAAAAGTTATAGTTACAAAAGTTATAACCAAACTCTTAACATGGAAATGACAGCCTTTTACAACAACCGTTTATGCCATAAACGCATAACTCAGCAACCTAATAAAGCACCCGACAAATAAAAGCGTACAAACCTTGAAATTATTACACCTTTCCAAACTGGTAAATCAATGTTTTGTTCAGAAATCGCAACAGCAGCGGCAACTCAAAGGAAGTTTCGTGTTCTAGCCGGGGCGTGTTGTTAAATGTGTTGTAGGGAGTTGTAGTCTTTTGCCTGCTTCTCATAATACAGTTTAAACGGCCAGTGCACAATATAAGACTGCATATCCCAGTAGCCTCTGCGTCAGCACTTTTAGCTTACATGCCTGACGACATCAAACAGCAACACGTTTGTTGATAAACTGCAAAAGAATGATACACATAATAAAATATCTAAAAATAAAAGGCTTGTTTTCACTGAGAGCATTGATTTGAGGTGAAATAATGCCCTTGAATTGTTAAAGAAATAAGTTGATATTTCTAATATAAGCCTTTTAAATACGTTGCCATAGCAACTCCTACACTAAATCAGTTACACGCTACATATACAAAATATTTATTTATATTTTAATCATCAGTATTAGACAATTAAAAAAATAATAAATAAAGCCCAGTAAAATAAAATTTAAAATAAATAATATAATACAAATTGAAACAGCAAAGTTTTGAGTTTTGGGCATAATTCATTTATTTGGATTTTTTTACTTAAGTGTTTTCTATGCACATTTTGAACATTACAACAAAGCGAAATCTAGCAATAATGTATGCTTAATAAAATGCATAGAGAAAATATCGCAAAATTATGCAATAGAAGTACGTAATATCTAACTATGCATCTACTTAAGGCAGAAATCCTGTTGGTTGATGTTACAGTGTCAAATCATAAGTTGAAGTTAAAGCAAAACTCTTCATGTGTTTTAGTGAAAACAAAAGGTTTTGTGTCTCCATCAGTCTTTGTGTGTTCATTTGTCTCCCGGGGCCCTTGCAGTGTGTGTGTCTCTTGAGATTTGTCTGTTTTGTTTGTGGGGTGTGTGTTTCTCTCAGCTCGCCGGTGAAACACTGGTTTGCACTCAGAGACACTGGTGACCCGGGCGGAGGTCACTGCTGTGGAAAGAGACATTAATTTTGTAAGAATTGTGTAAGCAATTTTTGTCAGAATATTATAAGGCAGGTTTTATTTTTTTAATTTTTTTAATGGGCTCTGTGGGAAAGTTTTTTTGGGGGGAAAAAACCCCTGTAAAACTGCCAAAATAAATAATTAAAAATAAAGTTTTAATTACCTAAATAAATAAACACACATATTAAGATTAATTCTAAAAAAAATATATATATTTAAAATTATTAAATATAAATAAACATTTGATTTAAAATAAATGTATAATACATTTATTTTAATATATGTAAATAGTTTTAAAATTAAATATCAATAATGTAACAATAGAAGCTAATTAGTTAACAAATATTGTAGCGGCCCTTTAATTAAAAAAAAAAAAAAAAAAAATTTTAGACATATGAATGTTTTTGCCCCGTCTCACTCACGTTGTTTGCTGGAGGTTTTTTGAGTTCTCAGGCCGAGCTCGAGCTGTTCGATGCACCAATCCAACTCTCGACTCAGCTGCTCATCAGGAGTCTAACACACACACACACACACATTTGCCACAGCTTATATATTTATATAAACACAACAGTAAATATGTATATATATATATATATATATATGCAAATGTGTATGTGCTTACCAGTTCTGTGGTCTCTTGTTTGGGTGTTTCCTCGTTGCTTTTTACCCCTTTCTGTTGATTATCTTTCCCGTCACCTGTTTTCTTTTTCTTCTTCTTGTGTTTTTTAGCATTGGTAGGAGTGTCAGCATTTTGGGCTGTTGTTTTGGGGTCCTCGCCACTCTGGCCATCCATGATTTTCTCGTTTTCCAGTATTCTGGTTGTTTCTGGAAAGCATGAACAAATTTAGAGCTTTTTCAGAGCATTTATCTGCCCCTTAGATTGCATGCTAATAAGTCATACAGTGCAATTCAATATAAAAGTCTGCAAAATAACACGTAAATTCATATTAATCTGATATGGTTTGTAGTGAAATCTTACCTGTTCCAGCTGATTCCTCTGCCATAGCTGAGGTTTGAATCTTCTGATAACACAAATAAACTAGCTGTCTGTTCTTTCCTATGAAAAAAAACACTAACGATCACCTATCGAGTGTGCACCGCTTAAGGAAAAATGTAAATGTGATAGAATCAATTAATTACTTCTGCTCGAAGCGTTGGATTTTCTTCTTCTTCTTTCTTTTACTGGCAACCGCACTTCTTCTTCTTCTTCTTAGTTTTATGGCGACTTGCAATCTTTGCGCATATCGGGCAACCGCACTTAACAGTGGCGTTGGATTTTCAAATATGTTTACAGAATTTAGCTACGCATGTGTGAAAATCCCATATGTGTGCACCAAACAAGGAGCTCCGCCGGCAAAACATTTACCATTCTAAAGGTTCCTACTGCAGCACAATAAAATTTACCCTCCTTTTTAGGCAATGGTGACACAAAGACCGCACTAAAACATACTGGATCTCAAAAGCAATGTATCTTTTCGTCATTGTTTGCGAAGCAACGATTCTCGCAATAATTTACCAATAATGTTTTGTATTCGCTATTATTAAAAGGAACCGTATGGGACGGTTGTTTTTACATGGTTATGTAATCCACACCAAAGTGGTTCAGGGCTAGAAATGGAAGGATTTTGAAAGCATCTAACACGGATGTTTCACGAAGATTGTTAATTAAACGTTCATATAACGCCATTTGAAATTTAAAAACAGTTTCGATCTGCAGAAACAGACCGAAAAGCCATTTACAATTACATCAAAACCGCGCTAAAACTATTATAAATACATACTAAAGAAGAGTAAATCTGCCCCTCGCTGCTCCAGCCAATGAGAGTCGGCGTGGGCGTGGCTTAACCTGCGCACAGACGTCACTGACTGTATAAATACAGGGCAGCTCGTTCTGCCCGTGACCGACGTCCCTTGTTTTGGGTTTGACGGATTATTCGAAACAAAAAATCGTAAGTGTCGTTAACGGTCGGTCTTAAACCAACAGAAACTTTCTTATGGTGTGTTTAGTCTTTGGTATCGTGTTTTAAGACTTTTTGTAACATAGAAAATCTCTTTAGTCTGCATTTTGTGTTTAGATTCATATACGGCGATTTTAGATGATTTTTGTCGCGGTAGCAACAAGCTAAGCTAACTAGGGCGAGCTCATATTTACTTCTGCTTTATTTCAGAAGTTCGTACACTATTTTTACCTTTAAATTTCTGTTTTTTAATACGTAAGATAGTCTCACGATACGCGTCGTTTTCTATTTAGCCGCTTTCAGTCGACAGTCACTGAATTGTCGGTGTAGACAAAGAAAAGGCTGTAATTGGTTTTCTTGGGCGCCATGTTACACATAAAGGCAGAAACGTGTCTCTGTCTCGTCCTGAGATGGTGGACTTCACTACTGCATTAATCTGAGCTTCCACAGCTCGATTTACCGGTGGTTTCTAATCTCTTTCGCCGTAATTAAAGTGAACGTGGTGTATATGTAGTACTAGTTGCTGAATGGTTGAATGAAAGTCGCTGCCGTTGAAGATTTTTGCTTTCAGGCGGTGTGTGTGTGTGTTGAATGGGACTCCGTTATGTGTGTGTGCGTGTGTGTGACCCAGTGTCCCACTGTGAGTTGTTCAGGTTATTGATTCTCCACAGCAACACGCGTTTCTACTTGCTTATATACATATGCGACTTTGCATATACTTTAACTAATAAAAGTGCAGCGTTTATAGAATTACAGTTTTATATTTTACCAGCTCGTTTACCTTTAAGTATCCATTTAGCTTTAATCTCCTAAATGGCGCCCCCATGTTGTAAAGGGCTTCTTTAGGATATTGTTGCCATGGTGTCCTTTTCCTAAACATTACATGTTTCTGCATGACTGTATTATTGGGCGGGACACAAGCGGGAGTTTTGTTGTGGATTACGTCATGGCGCGCGGAATTCCCCGCGGCTGTTGTTCTTTCTTACCGGTTTTTCTCTCTTTAGGCCGCTTCATTAGAGTGCCATGGCACGTACTAAACAGACCGCTCGTAAGTCCACCGGTGGTAAAGCCCCCAGGAAGCAGCTGGCCACCAAGGCGGCCAGGAAGAGTGCGCCCTCCACCGGTGGAGTCAAGAAGCCCCACAGATACCGGTAAGAAACACTGAACACGTGTAGTAGTAGATAATTGTTTATCATTATTACGTGTATATATTGGAGGTTTTATATATTATCGTGTACGTACTGAATGTTATTCAGTGTATACACGACGATATATATTCACTATATACACAATATATGTAAATAGTTTTATATATTGTATGTATACAAGATATTGTTTTATATACTGTATTTTATATAATGTTTAATTACAATTTCATGCATTTTTTTTATATTTACAGTACATGCATGAGAGAATTTGTTTTTTATATATACAAGAATTGGTGTATAAGCTGAATATCTATAAATATGCTAGAAAACTTTCACTTAACACTTTTGAAGAGATTTTTAACGGAGTTGAGCCAGATGCAGTGTTAAGAGTTTAGCAACAAAAAAAAAACTCATTTATTATAAATTCTTGCAATGAAAATTTTCAGAAGCTGGCATGGCGTTAAACACAAACTATAAATATGCTATATTAACACAATATATTTATATTCAGCATATGTGATATAATGTATACGAAATGAATGAATGTATTAAATTGTGTATGTTATAGATATAAAACCATATGTGTGTGTGATACAATGTACATATTTAAGAAATGTGTATGTAGAATATATAAAAAAAAATTACATATGCGTACTCTACATATATTCAGTAGACACACACTATATATATATATATATATATATATATATATATATGCATGCATATATACAAATGCTTTTAATTTGTGTATACATTGTTTTGTACATACTGTATAGATGTGTTGTATATGCATATTGTGTATATACATGTGTGTGTATATATTGTGTATTTACTGTATATTTATATTGTGAATGGACTCAATGTAACCGTTATGTATTCAGTATATGCGTGATAATGTATGTACATGATTGTTAAATAAACAACAATGTACTTTGCTTTCTCCTCAATGGATTTCATGCATTATCCCAATAACAGCGAATCAATTTATGGTTTTCTGCTCGTTTCCCCCTCAGTCCTGGAACTGTGGCTCTTCGTGAGATCCGTCGGTACCAGAAGTCCACAGAGTTGCTGATCCGCAAGCTTCCGTTCCAGCGCCTGGTTCGTGAGATCGCTCAGGATTTCAAGACCGACTTGCGCTTCCAGAGTGCTGCCATCGGTGCTTTGCAGGTGTGTGTTCTAGTTCTGGGTTGTGTATAGATCTACCTCGCACTCTTTTTGTTTGGTCACTCCTAATGATGTTTTCTCGCTCTGGTTTGTAGGAGGCAAGCGAAGCATACCTGGTGGGTCTGTTTGAGGACACCAACTTGTGCGCCATCCACGCCAAACGTGTCACCATCTAAACATTCCAAATTGAAAATGTCCCTTTTAAGCCACTATGAGGATTTGTTTTTGACGCCGACTCCCTCCTGTTCTTCATCGGACAGCAGTCCTGGTAAATGTTCATGGAGGTTTTTCTCCAGAGACTCGTCGATCTCCGTCTCTCTCCTGAAAATACACCAGACGACGAAGCCCACTCCAACGAGGCTGATGGGCAGAACCTTCCACCAGGGCCGCTGGTAGGTGCTGCCCATCGAACGGTCCACTTTCCAGGTTCGGTGGCTGGCTTTGCTGGTTGAGAACTGGATGGGTTTGGATGCTTCATTATCATCTGGAGGTTTTCTGGACTTTGCATTAAGCGGTGATGTTAAGGACAGCATCCTTGAGGCGCATGGTCTACAGAGATAAAGATTTAATGAAACATTACTTTAAAAATGCCAGAAATAGCATTGCATTTATTTCTAATATTCTGTGGTGCTTGTATTTGCTAAACAATAATTAAAATGTCATTTACACAGAGATCCCTCTAGCCAAGGTCAGCTTAGAATTTAAGAGATCATTGAAGAGTGTTTAAAGAAAAATCGGTCAGAATTCTGTTCAAAAACCATTTGAATACGTTTCAATTAATTAAAGGCTTGTTTTAATTAATGTACCATACAAAGCAAATTGGTTGCATAAATTCTACTGAGGTAAATGATGGTTATTTAATAACCTATACAAAAAAAATTATCCACTTACCTTAAATTCGCAAGTGTTCTGCTTGTAAAAACATCGTGACCCAAAGAAAACCGTGATAAATGCAGGCAGACTTTTGACATCTTCAGGGTTTCTTCATAACAGGCGTGATTCTCTCAGGTCATATAACGAGCGCTCCTGTAAATTCTGCCCGGAAGGAAAACTACAATGAACTGAAACATAGTTCCGCTTTGATATTTAGGCGTTTTTAAAGAAAACAGTTTGTCTGATCACTTCATATATATATATATATATATATATATATATATATATTGTAGAGTGGTACATTATATTACAAATGTTGTTAAAATGTCATCGTATGAAGCGAGAATCTTATTCTAAGATTACGTGATAATACATATAAGAACTACATGTCCCAAAAGTCTAATTACCAACCAATCAGGGATGCAGATTTTACACAGCCACAGCAACGTCATCAAACCTGGCCGCTATTCCATGGCGCTGTTTGTCCACACGTGGTTGTAAGGAAATTTTGGAAGGTCTTTGTTTCCCTTGCAAGTCATCTTTATATTTCTTTAGGTAAGTCATCTTTATAACTTACATCTATAAACGCAAACACGCAATTATGATGACTCTCCTTAACTAGTAATATTAATTAATGTGTGTGTGCTGGGTAGTGCATGACTACATCTCTGCTGCTATATTATACGTTTAAATAAATTACATTTGTTTTTGAAAGAAGTCTCTTATGTTCACGTGATCCTTCAGAAATCAGTCTAATATGCTGATTTGCTTTTAATTGTTATTAATGTTCAGTGGAAATTAACAGAAAGCTCAAAAGAGCATTTCTTTTGTAGAACCGAACAGAAAACGTTTGTGACATTATTATTATAAACGTCTTTACTGTCACTTTTGATGAATTTAATGCGACCTCGCTGAATAAAAACGCGAATTGCTTTCAATAACTAACACTTGGGCTGTTTTCTTCTAGAATTGCTGAGAAAGTGAAGAAACTTGGTCTTGTAGACGGACCTCGGCATTTTAAGAAAAAGGAGCTCAAACGCAGTCTGGATGAAATGACGCATGTACAAGATGAGAGAAAAAAGCCAAAGAAAGGCAAAAAGAGAAAGGCTAATGATGAGGTGTGTGATGCCCGGCAGACATACATTTATTATAATAACACATGCATAATGTTTCAATAACATGTAACTTTTGACTAGCTTGTCTTCCTGGTGAAAAAAAAAAAAAGTCAGTATGTCACTAACAATATACTGTTATGTCACGTATATCATTATTGTTCTATAAAATCAAGAGTGACTCATAATCTGCTCAGGCAACAGTGTTTATGTCCACATGTAGATCTGTTCAGCTGTGACCTCATTTGTAGAATGCAAAAAGTGTATGTTTTAATTCTTATTTTGGCTTTACAGGACTCTTAAGCAGTTGCCATCCCAAATCAGAAACATTTCTTATTATTTTCAATGTTGAAAACAGTTCATATTTTTGTGGAAACCATGATTTTTCAGTTTTTTTTTTTTTTGAAAGGTCAAAAGAACAGCATTTATTTGAAATGGAAATCTTTTGCAACATTCTAAATGTCTGTACTGTCAGTTTTGATCAGTCTAATGCATCCTTGCTGAATAAAAGGATTCATAGTATTAAAATATTCTTTCTTTCAGTGGATAAAATCAAGAATTTAAATTATTCTCACAATTTTAAAGCTGCTGTGTTTTGATGTTGTCGTCAATTTGAGTGCAAAGAGAGTTTTTTTTTTTTTAATTCCTATTTTGAATTTGCAGGACTCCAAAGCAGCTGTTCCTGAATCGGATCTGGTGACGCCACAGAACGATGAAACAAACACACTCGCTGCTACAGGGAGAGCAAAAAAGAAAGCGATGATGAAAAAGAAAAGTAAAGCTGAGGTGAGTCAAAATAATCAGCTTTCTTCCCTTACAGTAAAACGGTAATATTGTGAAATATTATCACAATTTAAAACAACTGATTTCTATTTGAATATATATTAAAATATAATTTATTCCTGTGATGCAAAGCTGAATTTTCAGCATCATTACTCCAGTCTTCAGTGTCACATGATCCTTCAGAAATCATTCTAATATGCTGATTTGCTGCTCAAGAAACATTTCTGATTATTATCAATGTTGAAAACAGTATCTTTGCAGAATCCATGATTTTTGTCAGGATTCCTTGATAAATAGAAAGTTCATTTTAAATTATCTTTACTGTCACTTTTGATCAATTTAATGCATCCTTACTGAATAAAAGTGTTAATTTCTTTAAAAAACAAAAGAACTTGTCCTGTGCCATTACAACATGACCATGTTTATCCCACTCTGTCACACACACACACTCTCGACCCTCCTCGCCGCTTCTAAGGTCACGTTCTTCCTCTTCCTTATTCTCGTGCGAGCACGAATGGTGCGCATTTGTGCATGTTACACACGGACAGGGAGGTGTTGCTCTTGCGTTCTGCGTATGCAGGCACGGCACGTGGTGCGCGACAAACACCTGCAGTTTCCGTCTAAAGGTGTTTCCTAGCAGGCTATAGACGAGTGGGTTCAGGCAGCTGTTGGCGCAGGCCGCTAAGGTCACAACGTGTCCCGTGAGCGGGAAGCGCTGCCACAGAGTATGGTTTCCACGTCGCCGTGAGGCATCTGTGTCACCGTTCAAAAGATGCACGCTGATGAAGACGTTTTCTGGCAGCCAGCATACAAAAAACACGCTCACGGCTGCGACGATCATGCGCAGGGCTTTTGTTCGCTGCGGCCGTTCAGAGCGCAAAAGCACACGCGCGATTAAAGTGTAGCAGACGCCCATCACGCAAAACGGCAAAGCGAATCCCAACGTCACTTCCAGCCATTGCACCTCAGCCACGTCCGCAAAACAGAAGCCACGCCCCCATCCGTGATGCACATGCGCAGTAGCGAATGGAATCAGTGCACAAGGTGGCCGCTGCCCATATGGTCGCGCAGGCCCTGCGTGCAACACGTGAACGATGCGAAATGGAGGCGTTTTCAGGTAGCGCTCGTGTTCTTAGGCCGGTCAGCACAAGGCAGCGGTCCAAACTCATCCATGTGAGGGAAAACACGCTGCTGTACATGTTGACCTGTAGGAAAATCGCCATGCATGAGCACAAGACTGCATCGTCGTAATAGTGCGCGCTCAGGTTGAACACTTCAATTAGTGAGTCCAGAACCAACACTAGGTCGGCCAGGGCCAAATTAGTAAAGTACGGGTCCGGCGTGCTCATCCGCTGCCGAGAGTCAAAGTTCACCAGCAGGATGAGGATGTTACCCATGAGGCCGAGCGGGAAGAGCAGGATTGTGTAGATGCAGGAGAGGAGGAGGCTTATGACGTAGGCGTCCGAGGAGGTGGAGTTCGTTTCGTTGACGTTATTAACGGACCAGTGCAGGCTGGAGGAATTTGGTTGGAAAGTCAGCGGATCTTCCATCGTCTTCCCCTCTATTACTTCCGTTGTCACATTGCTTGGAAATATGCCGTTTTCTGCATTTTGTTGTCTTTTCGAAGTACTAAAAAACAGAAAGATGCATGTTTCAGTGAGAATCTCAAAGCTTGCTCTAAAGTCATTGTTATTTTACTGGTGAAACAGTGTAAAAATGCTACAGTAAAAACCTGTTAATTGGTTAACTGGTAGTTAAGTTCCCTTGGGGTGTCCAATTCAATTCCTGGAGGGCCACTGCTCTGAAGAGTTTAGCTCCCTCCAACCCTAGTTAAACACACCTGAACCAGCTTATCAAGGTCTTCAGGATTACTAGAAACTTCCAGGCAGGTGTTTTGGAGCTGGTTGGAGCGAAACTCTGCAGGACGCCAGCCCTACAAGACCTATCTAGGACATATCATGTAATTTTACAATAAAATACTGGCATCTTATCAAGTCATCTTAAAGGAGACATCTTATGCCCCTTTTTACAATATGTAATATAAGTCTCTGGTTGTTTTTTTTAGATCTGTGTGGCAGCAGAAATATGCAGTAAATAAATCAATAAATGCACTGCTCTCTTGTCTCCTCTGAGGCTGGGACTGTAAATAGTGTTCTGTGCTCGTCTGTGCAGCCAAAGACAGAACAGTTAGTATGTTCTGCTCAAACTTTTGCCGTGGTATTACACCGTTGTCGCTTGGGAAATCAAAATGACGGCGCCATGGGTGTAAACTTACAGATTAAGGGGCGGTAATATTATAATAAGATCCCTTTGCCACGTCACCAAGGGAGCGAAATCAGACGCGCTCGTTTTCTCAGACGCTTGCAGAAAAAGGCTTCCCAAAACAAAGTTACTGGGTTAATCTTTTTCACGTTTCCTTGGTTGGTAGATGCACCGGGGACCTGATTATAGCACTTAAAACCTGGAAAAGTCAGATTTTCATGATATGTCACCTTTAAATTTACAGTGAAAAAATGTAAATTGACATTCCCAGAATTTCCTGTGTGGTTCTTCACATTTGATGGATTTTCATTAAAAAAACTGTTTCTTCTTAGTTTGTACAAAACAGATTTTAGTACTTCAGTAGGTTGGTATATTACCATTATATCAGTTAATGATATATATATATTTTTTTGACTGTTAACCTAAATTTCAATCTGTGAAGTTAAATCTGTAACCATATTTTTTTTTAATTGTACAATTCTATTTGCCGTTATTTTTTTTACCATTAAATCTTGCAGATTTTATTTTACAATGGGATTTTCTGATAGTTTGCAATGAAGCATTCAAAATAAAGATCTTACCTTGCTTATTGTATTGTCCAAGTTTATCTGTGTGTATTACGTTGTCCTCCTTGTTTGCACTTTTAGGTCCTTAAAGGTCATTAAGAAATAAATGTAGAATTCTTTGATTTGTAGATATTCTTTTCTTTCTCCTTTCGGCCATACTAATGAAGCAGACGTCTCTTCTGCTGAAGTCTCGCTGTCTCATGTACAAATACGTAAATACAGGAGGGCCAGGTTGTGCCAAACAGACACATACAATGGTCGCCTCTGTTTACCCCAAACAATATGATGGAGAAATGCTCCATTACCTCCTCTGCTGGCTGGAAAATTAGACAGACGGAAGATACAGAGTTTCATAGTGAAGGAGAATGCGTGTATTTGTGTGTGTGTGATGTTCAGAGGGAAAGATTTATTTATTTATTTTCAAGAAATTAGTACTTTTATTTTAGAAGGGCACATTAAATTGATCAAAAGTGACAGCAAAGACATTTAAAATGTTGCAAAAGATTTGTATTTCTAATAAAAAGCTCATTAAAACTTTTTATTAATTGAATCCTGGGGGGAAAAAATGCAAATATTAAGTGACGTATGATTTTCTGTCTTAGAGTACTGGAGATATGAACACCTCACAGCAGCAGAAACCATCTGGAACAGAGGATGAAAACGGCTCAGATGGTGAGGAAGATCTGAGTCCTGAGGAGAAGCGAGTGCTGGAGAGAAAGATGAAGAAGATTCTGAAAAAGGAGGAGAAGAAGAAACTGAAGGAAGAAGGCAAAAGCATAAAAAAAGACAAAGTCCAGTCAAATCTTGCAGAGAAGAAGGCGCTGGAATACCTCACATGGCAAGACAAACATAGTTATTTTTATGCATGTATGTGTTTCCCAATTCTACCAGAGGTTGTCAAACAGTGTTTTAATGGATTTACTTCATGTTTGTGTGCTTGTTTAGCTGGTCTGAGAGACGGGAGGAGTGGAAGTTTCACAAAAGCAGGCAAATATGGTTACTGCAGCACATGTATGACACCACAAAGGTACAAGAAACTTCACAATCATCATTGATCTCTACAGCTTTCCACACTTATCACAGTAATAATACACAGTAGTAATGATTTTGTGTTTTAAATCATGCATATGGTTTCTTTTTTTTTTCTTTTCTTTTTTTTAAACCAAAAAAGTACTTTTTTCATTATCAATTTCAACTGTTTTCACTGCATATGATATGCATGCATTTCTCTCTCTATTTCAGGTGACTGACGATCATTTCAAAGGGTTGCTAACGTATCTTGAAGGTCTGCGCGGAGCGTCGCGAGGCATCACATTGCAGAAAGCTGAAGCCATTGTGCGCTGGGAAGGACAAGGAGAAGAGGAAAATACAGCGGATGCTGAAAAGAAAAAACAGAGAGCCAAACAGGTCGTCCAGTTGTTGTGATGGATCAGAATATTGAACAAATCATCAAAATGAACTGTTTTTGGTGCTTGTATGAATTTGTCATTGTACGTTTTCATCCATTAAATGATTGCTGTGGTTTTTATCTACCAATAGGCTATGCTGTGTTTTTTTAAATCACGTTTAAAATAAGAAAATAGGTTTGGCTATCTTTTAGTATTTCACTGACAGTGTTGGGGAAAGGTACTTTTAAAAGTAATCCAATAGAATATTGCGTTACTGCCTAAAAAAAGTAACATTTACCTTTTATGGAAAGTAATGCGTTACATTACTTTTTAAATAAGAAAGTTAAACAAAGTTCAAAGAAAGTTCAACACTCATCAGCAATAAAAAAAAAATGAAACAAATGTTATGTCTAAATTCATTTTTGCTTAGTATGGTTGAATTGAATCATCGAAGGTCAGCAGCAAAGACATTGGTTAATAAAATGAGATTAAATACATAAAAGACATTTGTTATTTAATTTATTATTGCAGGTTTGCATCATTCTGAGTTTGCATTTCACTGTTTTTACTTGTTTTTAGAAATACTGAATCTGTTTTTGTGCAAGTGAGATAAGTAAATGCATGTTCACGTTTAGTCTAAAACTACAGTAAGCATCATGTTTACACAGCACACACAAGGCCTCTGTACTTCTCTTAACATGGGGACAGGAGAGCTGTCAGTCATTAAATGGGAAAACTAATTTTCATTTTCGAAAACTTAAAAAGTAATGCCATATTTTAAGTTACTCTAAAAAATCGAATTTGCTTGTCACTCGCGTTACTTGTAATGCGGTGCCCAACACTGTTCACTAATAATAATAAAAAACATTAAAGGACCATGCAACCACATTGGTGTTCTCTGAAATGCCTTTGAGTGATGTAAATAACATATTATATGAGTGCTAATCATTCTAATGCCGTCAGTACTTTTTTGAAGTCTCAGGAAACATGGAAAAAAAAAGCTCAGAGCATTTAAAAATATATATTTTTATATATATATATATATATATAAAATAAGAACAGTTTTTATCGTTCATCATTGAATTTAGTGATGTCATCATCCAGCTCAGTTCATTTTAAATAGTATCTTTGCAATCATTTGCAATCAAGTCAACGATATCGCTGGAAATTAAGTGTCCTCAACTAAGCAAGCCAGAGGCGACAGCGGCAAGGAACGAAAACTCCATCGGTGACAGAATGGAGTAAAAACCTTGGGAGAAACCAGGCTCAGTCGGGGGGCCAGTTCTCCTCTGGCCAGACAAAACCAGCAGTTCAATTTCAGGCTGCAGCAAAGTCACATTGTGCAGAGGACTCACCTGGTTCCTGTGGTCTTGTCCCGGTGGTCGTCTGAGACAAGGTCTTTACAGGGGATCTGTATCTGGGGCTCATCTAAAATAAAAAAGCGGACTACATTTCCCATAATGCCATACGTGGGCACGTTCGTTTGACGTCACACGCATCTCGCCAGGTATAGAAGTCCATCGTGCAAAATGAAAACAACTGTTGCATAAACTTCATTCATTACGCGGAAGCTGGTCACATATGCAAACGGATTCACATTTTGGGTAACGTAACTCTGGACTTTATTTCACGCTTTGTTTGGGTTTTTTCTCGCTGTCGCATTGCAAAAACAACGAAGTAAAGCGAGAGGTTGCTAAATCACATTTCTAATACTTTTAATAGATGTAGATTTTTAGTAGTCCGACTGTCATCTGCTAATGCAATGTAAGAAAAAGATGGGTTTTAACATGCAAATGACCTTTTAATGGTTTTTAATGTGCATTTTTAGAAGGATCATGGCAGAGAAACCTCAGCTGGTCAATAATTCACCAGAGGACGTCGAGACTGATGAGTGCATGAGCACATACACACACATGTCTACAGCCCTGATCTTCTCATGTAAGCACAGTAAACACTGAAGTTTTCTTTTTTTTTCCTTGCATTTGAAATCCATGCATTGTTAAATATGCATATATACATACATAGACACAGAGACTTGTTTTTGTGTGTTTGCAGTGATCAGGTGGCCTTTATAACCGGTGGAGGGTCAGGTATTGGCTTTCGAATAGCAGAAGTTCTGATGAGGTGAGTTGTCAGTGATTTTTTTCCACTGTAGTTTCTCGCTGTCAACACTTTGTCCATGACTGAACCTCTCAGTTTGACGTTTTCAGTCACAATTGCCTTTTATAGTGACGCACACATTGATCTTTAACCTTTGGTAACATGTGGTCTTCTCAAGCCTGCATCTTCAAATTAATTTCAATATGTTTATAATCTTGCAAAAATCGTTTGAAGCTTTTTTGTTGTTGTTGTTTTTTGTTCAGGCATGGTTGTGACACGGTCATTGCCAGCAGACATCTGGAGAAACTCGCTGAGGTACTGTTTCTACAAATCTCCAATAACTCACTCAGTGACATTACCTTGATGAAGAGTCATTCATCTTATTGTGTGTGTTAGGCTGCAAAAAAGTTAACCAGCACTACAGGCAGACGGTGTTTGACGATTGCCATGGATGTGCGTCAACCAGAGATGATTTCTGCTGCCATGGATGAAGCCTTGAAGACATTTGGACGTGTTGACATACTTATTAACAGTAAGGCTTAAGTTGGTCAAAGGCTTAAGAAGGTCAAACACAGTGCCTTAACCTGTAATAAAATCATATCTTTTCCAAAACATGCAGTGTATTACCAAAGAGATCTTGATTCTGTAGATATAATGATGTCAAAGATCAACTAACACCCTCTTATCATGTTTCTTTTGATCATTCTCAATGTGTGATTACACACTATGCAAACACATGTACTTATGCAAATAATTAGACATGTTTGTGGTTTACGATTTTTATTTCACAGATGCTGCAGGTAATTTCTTGTGTCCAGCTACATCATTGTCATTTAACGCTTTCAAGACCGTAATGGAGATTGACACCATGGGAACTTTCAACACCAGTAAAGTCATCTATGACAAATGGTTCAAGGTAAAAAAAATATAAATTTCAAGAGTTTTTATTAACTAAATATCTCAGTTCTTGGCTTTTTTTTTGTCACATGTAGAGGTCTCTCTGTATTAAGCAGTAGTTTATTGTCAGTGTCTCATAGTTTGTGGCTGTTTCTTCTTTATCTCAGGATCATGGCGGCTCCATTGTTAACATTTCCGCCACACTGGGATACAGAGGTCAGGCTCTCCAGGTGCATGCTGGGTCAGCGAAGGCGGCAAATGGTTAGTGTCATTTTGGTTGATGTTCTGACATAATTTTCTGTTTGTCTGCTTTATAAAGTTGTTTTTATAAACGTTAGAATATATAATAAGTATTTAATACGAGTAACAGTGTTAGAATGGCACTTGGAAAAAAACATACACAAGACAACAATAGTGTGCAGATTAATAATTAGTATGAAGACTGATGTTCCTCATTTGTAAATTGGACAAAAACATGAAGTAAAACACATTACATTTGTGGTTTAAAAATGGCTTGAAATCAGTATTTCCCCCTTTTATTTATTTATTTTTAATTCATATTGCTGGTCCCTTTGTGAACAATTTATACATGCATATAAATTTTGAACACATTTTTGACCCCATAATGTTGGATAAAATTTCTTTTTCAAGTTGACTGTGAGGATAACAGATGTTCTGTAGACTGAAAAGACCAATTTGGCACAATGATGAAAGTTAGTTAACTTAAAAAAAAAAAAAAAATTTAAAAAAAAGGTTCTATAATATAAAAATATTAATATATATATAAATATATTCAATATAACAAAAACTTAAACTTATTTTGTTTCTGATTCAACATTTCTTATTTTCATTTACTTTAATTTGAAAAACTAAAATACAAAAAACAAAAAAAAACTAAATAGACAAAATAAAAAAAAGAAATAAAATGACAAAAAAAAACAAAATTAAAGTGAGAACAAAATATATATAAAAATTCTAAATAAAATAAAAAATATATAAATTATACTAAAATAATTCTGCGATAAAATAAGGACTAATTATCTGCATATGTATATGTGTTTGTAGATGCCATGACAAGGCATTTGGCGGTCGTTTGGTGGTGTGAGGGTGAATACAGTGGCTCCAGACCCCATCTCTGGCACAGAGGGTTACCGTAGACTGGGTAAGACAGTTGTGTGTGTGTATCCTCATTCTAGTGTCAATATACCTTTTTTTTTTTCAATATCACTGGTTTTTCAGGTGGTTCACATTCAGAGTCAGCGGGGGTTTTCCGCAGCATCCCGGTGCAAAGAGCCGGCAATAAGACGGAGATCGCACATGCAGTTCTTTTCCTGGCCAGTCGCGCGGCTTCATACGTCACCGGCGCTATACTGGTCGCAGACGGAGGGGCGTGGCTTACCTCAGCCAATGACGTGGAACGGCTGCTGGGTATTGTCTCATCTCGCTCTGCAAAACTATGAACAGACAGCACCGCACGCAGGTGTGTGTGCCTGTGCTAGAAGACAGGTGTTTGCTAGTTATATAGGACTGAACTGATTAACATAAATCAATAATTATAATAATTATTCAAATGCTCAAACACACTTATGAGAAATCTATTTTTTTTTCAAAATTCTGTGATCTTGTGAGCAAAACAATCATTTTTTCCGATGTATTTTTATACTACTGTATGATTGACCTGTGAATATGTGGGTAATGTTTTGGTATATAAAATCTCATTCTAACTTGGTTTCTCTTATGTTTCTAGGTTTTTGGTTTGCAGAGAAAAGAAAGGATAAATAGCATGAATATAGAGGATGAAATCAACAGCAATGGACCAGTTGTCGTGCCAACATCTGTATGATAATTGTTGAATATTACAAAAACGTCCATATTATTTTTCACCCCAAAATTAAAGAAAAAAAATAAGAAATTATATTCTGTGTTAAGAAAATTAAGCCTAATTTTAGGACTTTTAGAATGAAACATTCCACCCAAATTCTAATTTTCATAATGCTGTTGCTTAGTTGTAAATTCTCATTCTTTTCATTGGATTTTCAGCATAAATTAACATCAGTACAAAGAACAAGTTCCAATTTTAATCATATACATGTTTTCCTACTTTATGATAATGAGTTTCTTTTGTCTCCTTACAGGAATGACTGC